CCCCCCCCCCACCTTACATGAAAATGGAAGCTTCGAATTTCTTGATTCGTCAGTGATACAGAGGTTATAAACACGAATATAAATATCAGCAGAAATGCCTAATGCGGAATAACTAATTATACTCGCAAAATTGTATGAAATCAATGCAGAAATAACTCCCCAGTTTAGCCAAATGAGCGAAATGTGCTTTTTTTTCCATAAAGCAAAACTGTTTGAACGACTCTAGAGAGGGCCATAAGTAGGAAATCTAAATCAAAAGAAATTAGGCTAATATTTGATAGAAACATAGGACCGATTTGAATGTCCCTACTCTGGGAATTCTCCACAGGATAGCATTAAATTAAATGAGATTATGCAAGTAATAAGGGATGTGCTTTTCTATAAAAGATATACTAGGAATTTACATTTTCCTTGGTGGTTGGAGCAGTAATGTCGTGTGCTCTTATCTCGTCTACATCGCATAAACCTTGGCTAGAATGTTTAATACTCTTGGCAAGCAGTTTGGTTTATCACCAAGTCGATTTATGAACACTTCTACGAAAGAGGGAATATAGATCAATCAATATGTCACAATGGTGAATTCTGCTAAGCTAATAAGGCTTGACAGTGTATGAGTACGACTTTCGGAAACAGCCCTGTGATCATGTTATACATCATGAGATCATTTGGTGGTGCCATAAATGTGCTAATTAGAAGATAGGCACAATAAGAAGCTAGGTAGCAAACGAGTAAACGAGGCGGATCAATAAATCGATATCAGTTCCACAATAAAAGAAAACCTCAAGATGGCACAATTACTCCACGTACGATGAATTAACAAGAAATTTCGATGTTACATTTGCCGAGTGGAAAGATTAGCCAAAGTACTTTCCACAGAAGAGACCTAAGCATCAGTAAAAATATCGATCAAACCTTATGCATTATTCGCCTGGGCTGAACATAACTAGGGAAACTCTGTCAACATAAAAGAGTTAGTTCTCTTCCCCCCCCCCCATCTCGGCTATGAATAACAAGCAAGATCATTTTGCCTTCTCAACTACTGAAACAGAGAAATTAATTCAGGTGGCTAGACAAAGGATCATGATTGGGAAAAAAACTACAAATTGGCGCTGAACAGCGTAGACACGTATTTGCCGTTGTAATCCGGGAGAAGAATCAATTTGAACCCACAAACGTGAATCACTCATCAAGCCGATATTGTAATACTCGAATTCGAAGCATAGAATGAAGTAGGATCTTTAGATATCTGAATGTCACCTTTTAGGCAACCATATCTTCATCATCAGCTGCTCCCCAGGGTCAAACATTATGAATTTTTGATATTACCGTGAGCTATAAGGATATAAACAATACAAATGCACTAATATAACTTCTTACCCCTACAATCCACCAATTGTGTCTTGCTATAAAAAAGGAGACAGTTTTATAACACAACCAAGCCAAACATTCAATTGCTCTAAGTAAGTTAATAAGGAAACTAAGAGTTGATTCATTGCATTTGAACGCTGTACTAACCCAAACGAAACAAGAGTGACCATTTCACCACAAAAGGGCTATTTTAATGCCCCCATGGTCAAGAACAATGGGATATTGAAAATAAGGGGGGATATAAGGCAGACGGAGAATTCAAGCGTAGTCAGCATAAAAAAATGCAATCCATACAAATGTGTTAGTTTGAAGGTAAATAAAAATTGGTACCTTCACACAGTGACCTAGAGACTGTCTGTTTGTAAATGTTATCTCTAGCATGGCTTCATAAAGCAAACAATGACGAATTTTTGTCAAAAGGGACAACTGGTGGCACAGCTTAAATTCCGCTAAGGGGGTTAATTCGCTGCATACTCACCCAGTTTCAAGCATTGTTTATCTATAGTGTCCACGTTGGCATACCGCAAACTGTCTCCACTGGCGAATGCTTGCGTGAATAGAATTCTTTATTATAGTGTTGATTTTGACCTAAGCACGATTTTAAATGCTATTTATCAACTCAGGTGCAATAAATTCATTCAGCACTTAATTTGTGCAAGGTGTAGAGATTCTGACTTAGCTCCACTATTCAAGCCAAAAGTAAGAAATGATATTATGGAACAGGTCTGTAGATAGATCGTTTCGTCACTCCATCTACTATTTATTTATATCAAATGGCAGGCTTTATGATAGTTATCACTAGCCCTTTAGTTGATTTCAGGCTTTACAGAGGGAGAGGAACATCAAATCGAAAAAAAGTCGAGAGGGGAGGGTGAACAGAAGAGTGTTTTAAAGATGCAAAAGAGACAGACACAAAGGTAGAAAAAAGGTGAGGTGAGTACTGTGGAAGTAGTCGAATATGGCATACAGTGGGGTGATGGTAGTTTGAAGTCAGAAGTCAACTGCCGGTTTATAGACTTTTTTGCCGTATGAGTATACGTTACCCAGGGTGCACCACGCGGAGGTAAGTCTATCGCACACCCCCACTCCATCTACTATATCCTAGCATTGCTTACGTCAACGGTCAAATAACTGCCTTTTACAATAAAGGACTTATTGCAACATGAAATTTTCACTAGTGTCACACGGAGCATAAGACCGAATTGGGAGGCATAATATTAAGCCTCACTAATACTCCCATCGATCTAAGGCATAGAGATAGCTAAAAGTAAAATCAGACGAGTATTACATATCAATAAATAAATATTTCACCTAACGAACGAAGATTCGAGCCAAGGAAAGAATAAAGAAGTATATTCAATTAATTGGCGTAAATTAATATAAAAATTAACGGTTGAAATAGGAAAAAAGAGATGAAATTCGCATACATGTTTAATGGGCACACTAAAATAAATATAGTTTATCGAAGCCATTTTCAATAGTACCTGCCATTAATTCTGCTCTCATGCGATTAAACTCGCCAGATTTATTGTCTTAATGCTAGCACTAACACGTTCTTTTTTGTTTGCTTTTCTTTCAGAGAACTTCACTAATCACGCAATAGAAAAGCAGGAAAACTCAAATTTTCTAGCAGGCGAGCAGACTTTTCGACCAGTCAATACACTGTAGTAATTAACCATTTACGAACGAAAGAAACGTGCAATGCGGCTTCATATTTATGAAGCAAGAAAGTGATCATTGAAAACAATAGGTTTTGGCCAAAAGTGTGCTGAGTCTTGTTGGCCTCTAATTACAAACTTTTAAAGTAAATACCGTAAGTTCAACCCTTGAGTAAACGATATTTATACATAAATAGGAGGAAAAGAGTAATTTTGGAATAACAATTGTTGTACCATACATTAAACCCAACTTAATTTAAAAATGTGGTTTCGTGAACAGAAGCGGTTGAACATTGGCAACTACAGTTTACTCTCACCGATTTAAAAGTTGGCGAAAGTTGGAGTTCTGTAAATACACGGTTGATAGAGACTCCAAACCTCTTTAAATATAATCCATAGCTGCACTTCATCATTCAAAAGCGTGCATATTTTCTAAATTAACGGTGATTAAGTCAAATAGATACTAAATTTCGATTTTAACAGCAAAGCGGACAAAAGTGGTTTTTGAAGCCTAAAGCTACCCGAAGACCAATTACCCAAAATATGAATCTATCTTCTGTTAGTGGTCCATTAATAAGCCGACCAACGAAAACAGAAATTCAGAATTATTTTTAAAAAAATCATTTTATACCACTACTTCATTCTCAAAGGTCTGAAACTGAAATCCACGCGTCAACATTCCCAAACACAATAATTGGAATCGCTGATGAAAAAATGAAAATGAATGTCAGCAAGTGGAAAATCCCCAGAAGACAGTTGAAGATAGTGCCGAGGTAAGTGTGAGAGAAAGTTCACATCACAGAAAGGAAGGTTTTTTTCTAACATCGCAATCGAATTTAGAAATGGAGATTAAATGTTTTCTGATTATAACAGTCACCAAATTTAAAAGGGCACAATCGAACCATGATGCAAAACTTTGGCAAACAAAAAAAGGGATGAAAATTTCTAAAATTAAAAATCCAGTTAAGAAGGGGCAAAGAAGCTTTGATCAGAACAAATTGAAGTCGTAAGAGGCCGAGCTATGCGAATGTCACACAAGCCAACAAAAAATGTGATATTTCATACGTCATATTCGGAAAACGATTGCAAACTCGACAAGAATATAACGGTGGAAATTTCAGAGCAAGTAAAAGGCAATACTTCAAGCAAGATAATCTGACTTTATATGGAACAAATAAGTAAAAATAGAACTTAGAAATCACAAATGCTCCATATCCAATTGAGCACTATTACAAAAAGAGAAGTCTCGTCTTAAAAATTCTGCAATTTAGCTAATCTAATGCATTATATTTCATTTATTTATGAAATACAGCAAATGTATTACAAATGAACGAAAAAAATATAAAAAATTTAATATTTACAATTTTACATTTTCAGTAGTTCAGAAAAAATACATTACTCTAGAAATCACATTATAAATAAAGTAAAAAATAAAGAATAACCAACCTGATTTGAGTTTGTCATTGTACCGACTTTGTATCTGTCAGGAGAGGCTAGGCATTAAGAAGTAAAAAATATGAGCCAACAGGATCACAAGTTAGAAGCGCCAATCAGGTATTAGAGGCCAAACGTCCTTAAAATGTTGAAAATGTCAACGTTCTAAATTAGTTATAAAGTGAATAACGATTCCATATACTGAATTTTTATAATAAGCCAATATGAGGACATTTGAAGTAAAAATTTGAAAGATATTCAGATAATTAATATCATAAATTTTTAATTATGCTTGAATAGAGTTGTATTAATTGTTCAAGCATTTCAAAAATCTATCCCTTAGAAGCGAAATTTAAGTTCTGCAAAATGAACAAAAAAATAGAGTTTTATTTAATTTTTAAATATCCATGTGGTGTTTGTTTTGTTAAACAAACGATCAATCATACTATTTGAATTGCATAGTTTCGCTCTATTGCGTGGTTTTGGTCAATAGTGTCTACTCTTATTATTTTCTAAAATGAATGACATCTTGATCGAGCTGGCAAACGTGGATTTATCTACAAGTGGAGCTGCCAATAAAAGCGTAATTGATATGATCAATCAACTAAGTGAAAATGGAAACTGGGAACATTGTGCAAATTTCATCATTTCTAATTTTGAAAGAGCCTCCACTCAAAACGAAATAACCAACTTTACCAGCAATGCGGCATTTTATGCATGTTGCGCTAGTATTGAAAAGATTCTAAAGCAGACGTAAATTTGGTTTATAATACCATATTCAATATTTAGGCCGACAACATGCGCTGTCACATCTGAGGAAGTTGAAAAGATGTCAGATTTTCTAAGGAAATGGGTGAAGATCTATATTGCTAGCATTGGAGGTCGGATCAATTGCACCATTCTCAAAAAGAAAATTGCTCAGTGTGTAGGTCTAGCAGTCATGCGGTATTATCCTCAAAACTGGCCAACTATATTTGACGAAATCCTTAGCTTATTTACGGACTGTGGAGGTAATTATTGATTTTTAGATCATTTTTCACGTAGTTTATCAAATGCATCCTCCTATTTCAGATACAAATATGGTGCTACTTAACCTTCTCGACATCTTTCTGGAACTTTTAAATGAACTTGACACGAATGCTTTTGATAGATCACTTAATCTTGATGAAGAACAATTCAAAAGGACATCTGACGTAAAAGACGCTATGAGAGCGTCGTGTTTACCTGCTATCATTGAAGTGCTTACTAGAGTTTTGGTAATTCTAACGGATTTTTGTTAAAGGTCTCGTAATTGAATATCCTATTAAGATGATTCTTGTTTCCTCTTTAGGAAAACTTGAATATTAACGAACCCCGGGAAACGGAGCTGATTTCCACTTGTCTTGGTATTATTGGACGCTACACCTTGTGGATTGATATAAATCTAATCTACAATGAAAAGTTTTTGATGATTCTTCGAGCTTATGTTCAGTTAACTAGTCCTTCCGTTTTAAAGAGTGTATGTTTTACCCTGCAAAGACTCTTTGCTAAAGGAATGCCTGACTTTCCGGACAAACTTTCACTTATAATGTCTCTGTGGCCTGATCTGATTCAAAAGATTATCGCCGTTCCAGTCATTTCGAAGGCACTACGACGCACCTCTTCAACTCAGAGGCTTAATCACGTTAACGGATGCGAAGATTCGGAAGAGACGATTGCATTAATTTTAGAATTTGCTAAACTTATTCAAATGATTGGAACCAATCTTATTAAGTCTTACGAGTGCGTTTTAAGAGCTTTTCTGATTGCATTCAATTTATTGAATTTTAAGTGTCAATTATTTTTATTTATATTTCTATAGGGCTCTAGCAGCAATAAATCCTTCAATAAACTCAAGCACTGATGCTTCTACTTGGCAAGTTGCCTATCAGAGTTGCGTGGAAAAAATAGAGATATCTTTTGATATTGCAATTAATCTAGTCGCGTATAATGACGGCGATGTTGCTGTGGCTACAGCTACTTTTGTCGAAGAATATTTGGACCTCCTAAGGGAGAAGAAGCCATCAAAAGTTCAACGTCCCAATAGAGTGGATAAACGATTGAATTTAACAGAAGAACGTATTTTTAAGCTTTCTCAGTTGTTGACTGTGCTTTTTGACAATGTTAAGTATCCTACAGATGATCCGGATGACGATCTTGAGCAATTTGAGAGCAATCGAAAAGTTTTCATTTCTTTTATTCGGGGCATTTCTCGAGCGGACAGTTCATTAGTGTTGGATGGTATTTACTCCCTTTTGCAACACACCCTCTCCCAACTTCCACAGTCCAACTATCGTATTGAAGACATTGATGAATTGGTCTTGGGTCGATTGGAGTCCTCCCTCTATCTCTTCTTCATTGTCGGCGAATTGTACAAAGCTCCTAAGGAGGGTTATTTTTCTGATTCCTTCGAGTATGGTCCCAAGATGAGGGAAATTATGTCAATGATTTGCGCTAGCAACATCTCTTCTATCCCTTTCTTCCCAATTCAGCTCAACTTCTTTGAAGTTATTGGACGATATGACAGATTCTTTTCTACCTCACCGAAGTACCTACTGAATATTCTTGTTAGTGTTTTCATTTTTCTTCTTTACCTTGTTATAAGATATCTTAAACCTATACAAATGTTTTGTAGGAAGCCTTCTTGGATTCTAGGGGACTTCGTAATTCAAATATCCAAGTTCGTTCTCGATGTGCTTATCTATTTAGTCGCTTTATCAAATGTAACAAGTAAGTATTCTGGCTTTATTTTTCGAATTGTTTTACCGCTTACATAATTTCGACATTAGAAATTTAGGTAGCTTTTTATATCTTGCGTTAGATTTCATTTCTATCAGTTCTTACTTCGCGCTATTGTCAATATTAACTAAGGGGGTATCTGGTTTATCTTATTTCCATCAGTTTTTATAATAGTGGTTAGCTTTCTTTAACTTCTGTATCGAAAATATCCTTTGTTTTATTGTTGAGAGTTGCTTTCTTTTTAATTTGATTTGAACTGTAACGCTTCTCAGTGTACGATAATTCATTTAAATAGTTGGTTCTCATCGTTGTACTTTCGTTGATTTTGCCGTACATTATGACCTAAGCTTATTTTCAAATGGTGCTTTTACGGTTCTTAAGTCGTCGATAACAAAGAATTTAATGAAATCGTTCTAATACCTGCAATGATTTTGATTGCAAATCACGTTGGTTTGAACTGGTCATTAAGAAACGTGGTGGAATGGTTGTTTCTCTTCAAACCGTTTCTGGTAAATAGTGTTTCAGGAGTTTGAGTTGAACAAGTCTAAGACCAGTGCATTTTTAGTCCACTACTTTTCCCTGTGGCGAGCAATTTTTGTGTTTTAATTATGGTCCATCTGACTTGAAATTGTCCTTTTGGTAGCCAGTGAGTTCGCTGCTGCATCTTACCAGTTCTCTGAATTAGCACTTCTGTTTATTTAAAGGTGTCTTTAGCTAGTTGCTATTGTCCCTTTTTCGCTAGTAGCGAAGTGCAGTTATTATTGGTTTGTTATTAACTTGGAACTGGATACGGTTTGCTAGGTCACATTTAATTGTTTTCATTAATTTTCAGGTCTGCATTCGTTCCCCACACCGAACAAATTTTGCAACAACTTGAAAGTCTTCTTCCAATTGACCCTACTCCTGAAATTGCTGGTTCCTCCTCTGTTAATGGCTTCAGAAGCTCTTCGAATATCCTTAATGAAAGTAATGCACATGTACCCATTGCCATAACTGTATTGCTATTATATATGCTCTATGATTAAGGACTATCTGCAGTTTGTGCATTCGGTTTACGTTCATAGTGCTTTCTTTGTTCATGCTTTAATAATTTCAAAGTTGTCTCCACATTTATCTTGGCCTCACAAACATATTTGGACACTACGTTGAGTCGACGTCGTGGTGCTTAACGTCCTCTATGAGGTTTTAAGTATCTATCGTCTGTGCCCAATATGCGTACTGGTCATCTGAACTAGTTGAATCTGGGAGATTAATTGAATGCTACGGACCCTAATGTGATACCACTGTCCACTGTAGGCCGGAAATCGTTTCCCTTAATCCGCTCTTAATCAGATAATTATTTGAGTCTACCGGCAATTCTATATCTGTCATTTGTACTTTTTCTTTTCTCAACAGACGCTCCTCGACGTCTTTTCTCAGTGGCCGAACAGAGCTTCCTCTATGAGGCCTGCGCAAATTTGATAGTAGCTCGGGCAGCCACGAATGATGGAGGTGGTGTTCCTGAATCTGCCAGGCTCTTTGCCTTTCTCCTTCAACCCGCTCTCGTCCAGTTTCCTGAAATGGTGCGGCAGCTAGCTGCAGAGAAGAATCCAGAAATCGCTGAAGCTCGAGGATCGATGATCAAACAGTCTACCGATCTAATAACGTTGGTTTTTATTCCTCGACCTTTAAAATTTGTAGATCAACCAAATCGTATAATATGGTTCATTTTATAGGCGGACGACACGTGTATTGCCATCATCGGCCAATCCCGAACCCCATTACGTCCAGATCCTCATGGAAGTCCTTAGCGTTTTGGTGACCAATCTCGCTCTCTTACCACCACTTCCAGGTGCTCCTGGCCGAGGATTTGTTTGTGCCGGGGTTCGAGCTTACATCCATCGTTTAGTTGGCTACATTGGACCTGATTGCGATGTCCTTATTAAGCCATCTGGTGGTGGACTTAATGGTGACACCAGTGTTGGTCATTCTGCTTCAGACCTCCTCCTACGAGCTATTGTTACAGCTACTCCCTATTTAGTGGCCATTGCCATTCCCAATGACCCTACTGTAACCCTAGAAGACCAAGATATTCGATGGAAGGAACTGAAAGAACACATCCCTCTATTCAGTCAACTGGTGCTTCGATATAAAGTGAGTGTGCTACTTAGTGCGAGTTATTGGTTCGTGTGTGCGTATTTGTTTCATATGTTATTCATGTGTAGAATCGCTGCCTTCAAGCCCTTTCTGAATGTCTTCCACCTCTAATTGCGGGTACAATGAGCGCACTGGCTGAACCCCTTGATCCCTCCCAAATGGTCGCAGTGAGAGAACGCATTGATTTACGACAAAGTCTTCTCCAACTCCTCCAGACTGTTGGTCAGGTCCTGTCCCAGGATATTCTTGTGGCACTGGGTCCGGATGCTGGTAATGTATGTTCAAATCCTTCAAGCACTCTCTTGAATCTTCCCAAATGAATTCACTCCTCCTAACGTTTTTGTTGTAGATTCTCATTAATTTAGCAGGTCTTACCGGTGACTGTTTGCAGTCATCAGATGCGGTAGGAATGAAGTTTGGTTTCACCTTCTTTCTCACCTGTATTCAACGGTTTGCTAGTACTGAGGACGCCTTCTATGAGGGGTTCTTGTTACCACATCTCCTACCTCTGGCATTCCTCTCTCCTGCTCGACAGGAATTTATCCTTACAGATGCACAGTTCTCTCAAACATTGAATGAGGCTGCTAGTTGTATCTATGCGATCAATACGGCAAGAGTAAGTTGTCATGCTAATTTGAACTTGTATTCATATCTCCCTGAATTTTTCAGACTAACATTTTGACACCCAGCTCTTTTAGTGTTATGCGTAGAGTCCGGAGAATATGTTGTTTTATGTTTATCACAATATACAATTAATGCATCCTGCCACTAACTACCTTATCCACGGTATTAACCTGTCGAAGTTAAACGGAAGGCCTCTAAACTATTAGTCTCAATGTTTCTACATTTGCAATTGGGAAGAGGGGTCTAATGCATTAACTCAGAAGGCACAAATTGGGCTTTGCTTCCAATGTTCTGTTGCGCATGTCTTTAATAAACATCTCATAAACGAGGGAAGAGTTTCTGCCACGTTTTGTGTCATGATTTTAGCATTGCGCTCAAAAGCTTGCCAAGTTCTAAAATATCTGTTGCGGGTGGTTTCTTTCGAATAGATGTTGTCCCATTTAGTCTCTAATGTTATATTCGGGAGAGAGAGGGGCTGATATCTGGTACATCTCTGTTGTGTGTGTGAATGGTTTGGAAAAGTTTGTTTTTGTTTAATAACTTGGAGTGTTTTGTATGCCCCTAAATGGGGTGGAGAACCTAGTGCGTCACTACGTGATGTACTCGAATTCGCCGCAGTTAACCTAATGAAATATCACATGTCAAGGTATTTCGTTAATTTATATATATACACCGTGGGAGTGTATTGTTTTTTTAATGATCGGAACGACTCGTATTTACTCTTCTCCAAATAACTATGCTATTTTTTTCGGAATGGTTATTTTGGAACAAGTTACTACTTTGCATGGTTTAGTTACTAAGGAATTGGCTGGATTATCTCCAACATGTCGATTAATGAAGGAATAAACATGTGCTACTCACATTGAGCTGGTTACCTGTACATGCTATTCAACTTTTGACATTCGTGCCTTCTGAATGCCATAGGGATTCAATCTCTTAATGGCTGGCTTTAACGACTATCATTGGTTGCGTCTTAGTATATTATACTCAATATCTTTCATTGTAGATTCTAACTTAGCTTTAATCGCTCAACCATATATATTTTCTGCTTTCTTCATTTATATGAATGGATTTCTATCGTCGGTACTATTTTTATCTTTCAGGGTGAAATCTTTCAACAGTTTCTTCGACGCACCTTCTTGCCTCAGCAGAATCTTGCGCAGAATATGATTGAGCTGTTCATAGAAAAACTGAGCACTCTAAGCCTTAAGGATTTTCAAGTTTTTGTTCAGGTTCGTCAATTTTTTTTAAACACCTTTTGCAGTTTACTTGGTAGCTGTCTCTAACTAGTTTCTTCTCCATTTTATTTTGTTTTACAGAACTTCTATTCATCATTCCGATGATTCTTAGCAGATCCGGTCCCCCCCCCCTCCCTCCCCTATCCTACATTTTTATTTCCCCCCTATTTTCCACCTTGTACCCACAGCATTTCCTCTTCTACCTCCCACCCAAAGGTTGTGTTTATGTATGCATTGATTATCTCCTCCCCCCTCTGTGAAATTATCCCCACTTGTATAGACACTAACACCAGTGGACCCAAAAGAGAGCACCAAGGAGAGTTGTGGATTCAATGGATCTATTAGAAGTTCTTTGTAATTGAAAGATCTCTTCCCTGTGATTCGTCAATAAAGTAGAAGTCGCATTATTGTGAATGAAGTTTGCTTTATTCTTTTTTTTTTTTGCAAAGAATATATTTGCTAAAATTTATTCGAGTTTGCGAATGGTGATGCTTCATTTAAGTGTGAGATCTTTGACGAGTTGAGGTAGAATGACGCCCGCTTGGCCTTCAAGGTAGAAACTATAAATGAATCAAAGAAAGTGGACATTTAAACTAAGACTTAGCTATGTGAAAGGTAAGACAAGATAAAATATTTTAGTGTTTATCATTGAGATGTAAGGAATGTTGTTCAACTCCAAGAGTGCATTTTAAAGAATAGAAAATCATGTCCTGTTTAATTAACACTGACAGTGTACAAATACCAAGTTTGATACTCGTCTGTCCGCATCCGATGCTTGCCAAGCCAGCGGTCATTAATTGAGTATCTGTTCAGGAGGGGAATGGCAGACTTTGTTTCTAATTAATGGGTCTCCACCACGCTATTACTCGGCTCCAATGTTGTGGCGACTCTTGGTAACACTGTTCCTCAACTTGCAAGTATCCCAAGCCTTCAGTGTCAACTACTTAAAAGGTCCCAAGATATCAACCCCTGACTAGATCCCGTTGTAGTGTTGATCACAATGGTTTGGTTGGGCAGATGAGAGGAAAGTACCACACATTGGGGAATTACAGTAAGGTTGGAGTCATGGTGAAGGTTTCAAACGAAGGAACTGGGACACCGGTTTCAAATTTGTTATGGGCAATATTCAGATGGCCTCCGGAATATCTATAATGGCCACAATGTTCAACACGAAATGGCCTACAGTAGTTTACGAATCAGAGCATGACTATGGCTTGCATGCAGGTCTACTAAAATACAATTATAATTCAGTTAAATGTAAACACTCATCAGTCCAATTGACGAAACGTGTACGAACAAATGCGACAAGTGGGGTTTCCAAGTCATTTTAGTGCACTTAGCTGCGTACTAAATGAAAAAGGACCAATTAATCATTATCATTCTTTACCTTGAGCACAGTGAATGGCTGTATTAGTTTCTAAACTCGAAAATGAGCAACCAGTTGATGGAATAAGCTACTTAAAAATAGAGGCTTTGTGATATTTTTTCACGAGATTCTCGATTAGTTCTGGACAGTTCTAGGACTCTGTTCCTTCTATATGCAAGTCCACTAGGTCGATCCAGCAATGCGAATTGCTGACCAGAACTGCTGCGGTATACATTTCATCTACCCAAACCAAGTGTTGTGCATGCTTCAAATTATATAACTCAAAGCCTATTTAGGAAACAGTGTTCCAAGACCCATCTAACGAGAAATTCGAATTCGGCCAACCCTTTACTAGTTGCGGCTGATCATTTCACTCATTTCGAGTGCATTGGTGGTCATCGAGCGAGCAAATTCCAACGAGAAGGTTAACCACTGTGTTATATGTCTAAGCGCTTTTCTTAATTGACTTTAGAAATTGTAGTTCTGCTGATAAGTGCATGTTAATAACAGCAAAATAATCATACGGAACGGCACTGGTTGCAGGAGTTGGTTCCAGGTTGATCTCAGCGACAGGAATTCCACGCTTGGCAGCTTTCAGAACCAAACCAGCAGCTGGATAAACCACAGAACTTGTTCCTACAACCAGGCAAATATCAGCTGATAGGGCGGCCTGCTCGGCAGCTCCTAAATCGACCGGATCAAGGTTCTCACCGAACCAAACAACATGAGGACGCAGAAGGCCACCACAGTCTATGCAGTGGGGAAGATCCTTCGTAGCTATTTTTGGAGCACTCGATGCGGATACATCTGGAGCTCTGAAATAGCGAAAAGGACCTTCAATGTTCATCAATCGTTAGATGGATATAAAAAAAACTTATAAACAACGTCTATTAAAAAAACGATTGGTTTAAGTATAGGTTGCTCTAATACCTCTGTCTGTGATTGAGAGGAATTCGAAATAATAGAAAAAAACCGATTTCGGCAATGTTTAGGTATACTGATACTATTCGGAACTTAGGCGTATTACCTACTGGGGATTGTAAGAAGTTCAAATGAGGTGGCCTGAGGTGGGTCGACCCGTTATGGAATTTTAATGTGAAGACACCCTTGTGACGCACTGTGCTAAAAATGACTTAAATCCACTACTTACCTGACATTTGCAGAGGTTATTGGTCATGTCAAAGAAGCTTTCCCTAGCAACTTCTCTTCAGAGTATATAAAGGTTGTAGGAAATTGTGCATTTTAATGGCAACATAATGTTGTAATTTATTTCTAAAATATCTGTGCTATAAATTCCACTATCATTTGCAAGCCGTTCCAATTGCTCTCGTGGTTTCTAAATCACCTTTTCGGAAAAAACATACACTATTTCATAGTTAAATAGACACGGTTAAGGGGTTTTCGATTTCAGTCGCATTTCAAACCATTGTCCGCTTTGAGCGTATTCTATGGACAAGCAAGGATAGGGCGAGGCTTTGGTAAATATGTTGAACGGGATAGAAACCTCCAAATCTAATGGAGTGTGTGTCGGATTTTGAGCCAATCATTACTTTTCCCTCTGACGCTGCCTTAAACGATCCACTTCTGCCCTCCAATTGCAAGTTGATGTGAAACAGAACGACTTCTGTTGTTAGGACATTGAAGATATGCACATTTTCCCTGGAAGAGCTGATGCGCCTGCACCCAGCTTTCCATCCTATTCAATTTATTTGTGTGCTTCAAATGTAAATACAACGTTGATAATAGAGAAATGTGACTTTCTGATACAATTATTCCATTGTCGACTGAAGATCCGATTCAACCAGGGGCGTAAGTACACCATCAACACAAGTTGTAGACCAGCCTGATTTTGGCAAACAATCTAAATTCCTACTGCACGATTTAAATCTTAAATCAAATTGGCATCGTCGAACTCCATTCACTTCACCGAAAATTTCAGTAATAATTTTAGTAGACTTGAAGGCGTTCCAAGACCTGATAGAAAGGCGTGTCTGACGTGTCCTTTGCCTACCTTGGGGAGGGACACTTTTAGCCCCAACAATAAAGTGAAATGTAATGCCACTAAAACAAAAAAATACCTACAGAATTATTTTCTTCGCTGGATTTGGGTACACAGTGAATTCGAGCATCTTCCTGTAAAATAAACGCTTTGTCGCGTTCCATCTTTTTTTTTCTCGCCATTAACGAAACAAACAATGACTAGCATCAAGTGCGGCAATTTGAACGACTGCTTGTCAACAGACCACACAATACTCGTAGACGTTGAGATGACTAACATAGCCGTGTTGGCCGCTTAAAAAGAACATCATTTTCATTGAGTAAATTGTAAGTGAGAGCGAGTGGACATTCGCCTGTCAACATATTTTCTCCAACAAAATAGATACAGAGAGAGAGAGAGAGCTAAAAATAAGGGGATACTTATGGAATTTCAAGTTATTAAAACACGCACAAAGATGATGAATTATTAGCCAAAATTTGCTTGCCTTGGGGGTACACGACAGACTTACCTCCACGTGGTGCACCTTGGGCAACTTGTACTCATACGACAAAAAAGGTCTATAAACCGGCAGTTGACTTCTCACTTCAAACTACAATGACTCGGCACTGTATGTCATTTACAACAACTTTCACAGTACTCGACTTACTTTTTTCTACATCTGCGATTCACTCTCCTCTCAACTTGTTGTGACTTTGATGTGCCTCCCCTCAGTGAAACTCAAAGTCAACTAAAGCGCTAATGATAATTATCTTAAAGTCTGCTTTGTTTCGGAAGTAAATTTTTCGCAAATGGAGCAAATATAATGACATAATAAGTGCATTGCTGACTTTTGGTAAGCAAATAGTACTTTCAACACATAAAAGAATTACTTTTAGACTTAAATAAGTACACACTAGTTGCAGAGAAGCTCTAACGTGGAAGGATATCATAGGTGCTTGCTTCATCTTTCTCAAACCAAAATTTGCCAATTCATAATCACATTCAGGCCTCACAGAGGGGAAGGAACATCAAAGTGAAAATCGAGAAGGGGAGGGGGGAACAGAAGAGTGTTTCAAAGATGGAGAAGAGGCAGACACAAAAGTAAAAAAAGGTGAGGTGAGTACTGTGAAGTAGTCGATCATGAAATACAGTGGGGTGATGGTAGTTAGAAGTCAACTGCCTATTAATAGACTTTTTGCCGTATGAGTATACGTTGCCCAGAGTGTACCACGTGGAGGTAGTCAATCGCACACCCCTTTTGTGAAAATATAGCACTCAGATTCCTTACCTCTGAATAGTAAGCCCTC